ATAAATAATAATATTGTTAAAAAAAAAAAAAAAAAAAAAAAAAATAACTCTCTCTCTCTCTCTCTCTCTCTCTCTCTCTCTCTCTAAAATCAATGCCGCCTCCCAGCGCTCCGCATGCGCAGCCGCCTGCCGCACCCCCCGCTGTGCCCCCTGATGGACTTTCTGGTGGCACCGTGATTTTTGAGGCCCGTTCGCACCCCCGTGCCTCCTCTGTTGAAAATTCCGCTCCACAGCTTCCATTCTCCGCTCCTGCCTCTCCAATTCACTGGGCCGATGATGTGAATATGGGGGAGGATGAAAATGCCGAATCACGTGACTTCGGATCACGTGACCGACGCGCCAAAAGACCTGCTGAACATGAATTGCCCCGTGGTCGCTCCCGTTCTCGTTCCCGATCACATCTGCCGGGTGTCCGGGTTCTTGCTGCTGTGGCTGCTCCCTCGAGTGTTGCATCTCTGGCCGATCTCCGTGTCGTTCTCACTCAGATGCGATCTGTTTGTGCAACCTTTGATCCGTTGGCGATGCTGGATCCTATGCTTGCACATTTGCCGAGGGACACTCCTGCTGAATTTTTTAGTGTTTGTCGTGATATGGCCGAGGATCTGGTGGGTCGCTTTGGGAGGCCGCTGCCTTCGCCTTCACCTCCAGTTGCCCCAGTCTCCCGCCATGATGATGTGGCTGCGCCTGTGTGCCTTCCCCCTAGACAACTGCATGGTAATCCTCCAATTCAGGACGATCTTGGGAACTCTGGTGCTCCTTGCCCTCGCCCCCCGTCTAGTCGACCTGCCCCACGTGGACCTCGTGGTCCACGCACTTATGCCGCTGCTGCTGCCAATGCCCGTGCCCGTGTGCTTGAGAGTCTCCCCACACTGAGTGCTGAATCTCGTACAGAAGCTGTCAGGACTGCCCTTGCTGGTCGTGACCCCACTTCGAATGTCAGCCTTCGTGGCCCTCGGCCTGTCGTATTCTATCCTCCGACCTCTCCGCTGCTGGTCTCCCCACCTGCTGATCTTCAGGCCCGTGTGGATGATTTGACCACTGTGTACATCAAGGACATCATGAGACAGCGGCTCGGCTTTGTGCGGACCATGCTGAGGGCTCTCTTGGGCGATGAGGTGGTGCGTGGTATCCGCCACATCAGTTTCGTTGGTCGCAACATTGCTTCCTTTATCTGTATTCGCTCAACCGCAATTGCTCTCCGTGCGCACTTCTCCACCCAGGAAGCTTCCACTGACGAATCAAACCCTGACTTTCTTCGCCGAGCCTCTACTCTGCCTTTGGAGCAGCGGGAGGGTGCGGTCAGGGAAGTTGTCCACAAGAGATATGCACATATCCTCAGTTCAGTTACTGATCCTGCTATTTTCCTGTATGTCCGTGGTCAGCTCCCCATGGATGCTCAGGAAACTGTGCTGGACAGTGCCCGCGGGATTGCGCGTCAGCCTCGCTCAACCCATCTTCGTCAATGATTAGTGTTCGAGTTGGTACCTTCAATTGTCGCAATTTGAGCTTTGGAGTTCTTGATTCACTGTTTCGTTTTATGCGCGCAAATCACATTGTTTTTCTGCTCCTGACTGAAACACACCTTTTTCCTTTAGACCCGCTGCCTTCTCCAGATTTGATTTTTGACACTCGTTTTTCTCCTGGGTCATCAGGTACACGACGGGCTGGTGTGGGAGTCTTGATCAATCGCAGTCTTTGTAGAGCTTCTGATTTCCGTCTCGTTTCTAGTTATGGTGGCACCTCTCTATGGTTTACATTTCGTGGGCTTTTGGTTGGAGGGTATTATTTGCCTCCGTGTGGTATTGCTCAGGACCCCTTCCTTGAAGAGTTTATTGCTTCACTTCCTCAACATGTCCCGTCGTCTCCGTGCCCTGTTCTTTTGTTGGGCGATTTCAATGCCCGTTTTCTAGCTACTGGTGATCATTCTTCAAATCGTAGGGGTAGGTTGTTTGAGCAATTTATTTCTGCCGCTAGTTTCTCTCTAGTTAAGCACCCTTCCTGTCATAACCCCACATTTTCTTCTCGCAATGGTGACTCCATTATCGATTTGTTGTTTGTCAATCCTCTGCTTCAATGTGATCCTATTTCTTACATAGTTCATAGTCGTCTAGCCGACGGCGAGTTTATGCCTTGGGCTTCTGACCATTTTCCGGTTACAGCTGTTTTTTCTTTTGCTCCTCCCAATGCCAGCGCTCCCTCTGCTGCACCCCCCCACAAGCGCTGGGCTGCTCATCTGTTGCGTGAACCTGCTGTCTTTCAAGCAATGGAGGATGTGGGACATTTGTTTTTTGATCCCACCCTTGCTGATGTCAATGCTGCACTCAGTCCAATTTTAGAAGCTCCCGCCTTTGCCCAAATGTCTGTGGATGTTGCACAGGGATGTATTGACTCTGCATTGGATATTATTTTGTCCTTTGTTACTTCATGTGCTGCTTGTGTCATTGGACCCCCCAGTTTAGTTCGCCGTCGCCCTGCCCTGCCATTGTTGCCGCCGCATTTAGTGGCCTTGCGACGGAGCTACTTACTTGCTCATAAGCACTTTGTAGCTGTTTCTTCCTGTGATGATCCTGATCCTGGTTTAGTTGAGTATTGCCGCTTGGAGCGTGACCAGCTATCGCGTGAGCGTGTCAAAGCTTTTCGTACTTGGTCTCTTTCTCAGCGAGCTCGAGAGGCTTCTGGCGACAATATGTTTAGTTCTTCTCCTAGTTCTTTAACCGAGGTTAGCAAAGTTCTTTCCACCGCGCGTAGGTGTCATCAACGGCGCTCAGCTGCAAGTGGTTTATTGTCTGATCCTGCCTCTTTATCTCATTATCGCAATCACTTTGCCTCCGTTTATCAGACTCAGTTTGCACAATCCTCTGCCAGTGCAGAACACGTTCGTCTACATGCGCTGAATGATTCTGTGTCAGTTAGTGTTAGTGACTTTGTTTGTGCTATTCGTTCTTCCCCAAACAACTCTGCTCCTGGCCCAAACCATATTCCAGCTGAGTTATTTAAGCCGTTAGCTTCTGATGTTGCTATCCTTTTTGTTCAACTTTCAAACGCTATTTTCCGTTCAGGTTTGTCGCCCTCTGCCTGGAATGCTGGCTTGTTGTTACCTGTTTGGAAGAATAAGGGCTCCATTGGTGATATTAGTCAGTACCGCCCCATTACTTTAACCAATGTTGATAGAAAAATCTTTGAGCGTACCCTGCTTCCTATGCTTGTAGCTCATGTTGGTAAACTTGATCCCGCCCAAGCTGGTTTCCAGGCCAATCGTTCAGGTGTTGAGTGTGTTTTTGCATTAGATGCTACCCTTCGACGGGCTTCCCGCACTGCTCTGCCTTATTGTGTTACTTTCTTAGATATTAAAGCAGCGTATGATACTGTGCATAGGCCTCTTTTGTGGGAACGTCTTCGTCAATTTCCCAGAATTCCAAACCGTTTGATCTCTGTTTTGATGAGTATGTTTGATCGTTGTTCTTCTCAGGTTGTTATAGAGAATCGTTCTTCTGATTTGTTTTCGCTTCCACGAGGTCTTTTTCAAGGTTCTGTTTTGTCTCCGTTCTTGTACTCAGTTTTCATCAATCCTTTAGCACAGCTCCTTCGTCGTGAATCTTCTCATCTTGCTAGGTTTTCTTATAACACTCCTGTTTTCAATTCGTTGTTTTTTGCTGATGACATAGCTTTGTTTTCTGCCACCCCTGAGCAAGCCCAACGTGCATTGAAAATTTGTGAAGATTTTGCTTTAGCTTCTCATTTTGTGTTTTCACCTTCAAAGTGTGCTGTGTTATCTTCTCAACGGTTACCCACCCCCTTGAAGCTTCATGGCTCTGCCCTCCCTGTAGAGGTTTCATTTAGATACCTTGGTCACTATTTTACTATTGAAGGGTTTGATCTTGCTGCAACTATTGATCATCGCTTAGAGAAAGCTCGTGCCTCATTGTATCTTTTTGCACCTTATGTCTCGTACTTTGGTGGGTCTGCTCCTCGTGTTGCCAGGTTGTTGTTTTTGTCTTTTATTAGACCTTCACTTGAGTTTGGTTTAGCACTTATTCGGCCTTCCACTGCTCAGCTTCAGGTACTCGAGCGTTTTTGTTATCATGCACTGTGTCGTCTGTTTTCGATAGCCCATACCACTTCGCGTGTTGGTTTGTTGCTGTTAGCGCAAATTCCTACTTTTGAGTTCAGGCTGAAGTACCTTCAGGCACGTATGTTTGCTCGCTGGTCTAGTGATTCCAGCCCTCTGTTACCAGCTGCTGTGTTGCAATTCTATCGGTCATCTCCAGTCGGTTATGGTTCATCTCCTTATTTTTCCGCTTGTCACAATGATCTCATTGTTCCTATGCCTGTTGTGCTCCCACTTCATCCGTTGATGTTGCATTTTCAGTCTTTAGCTGTTGCGCATAATGGACCAATTGCAGTTTCGTTTGCCCCTGTCCGCAATTTGAAACTTCGCCACCCTTTGTTGCTACCCCCACACCAACATCTCCCAACAGTATGTCTTCGTTTGTTCCTGCTATATCGGCTTGGCCGCCTGTTTCCAAACCCCCGACCTTATTGTAGGAACTGTCATGATGCCCCTGAAGTGTCGCGTGCCCATGTCTCTGTGTGTCTACATTTGCGTGCTAGTTTGTCTGCTAGTTTTGATTTAGGCCCGCCTGACGATCCCCGCCTACCTCTTGACATTGCAATTGATATGCTTTCACCACGGCCTTTTTATCCTTCCCCTGCCTTTTCCCAGTGGGTTCTTGTTCTTCGTGCACTTAACCGCATTTGGTCAAACTGTCTTGGTTATGAGTTAGTTTTGTCTCCAGCTCCTGATTGTATCTTGTCTGCTTTTGTTGATTTGGATATGCCTTAGTGTTTTGAAACATTTTACTTTTCCTACGGCTCGCACGGCTCCCCATGTGCTGCCAATTTACGTGTATTTTTACACTTGTATTTGGATTTTGCACCAGCGGGTGATATGTATTGGTTGGACAATAAATACATATTATGAAGTTCAAAAAAAAAATAACTCCTTCGTGGTCCAGTGGCTAGGATTTCTCGCTCTCACCGAGACGGCCCGGGGTTCGATTCCCGGCGAGGGAGAGATTAACTGAGTTCTATTCTGGATGGCTATATAGCAAATGAAACAATGCTATGTCATGAGAATGAAAGTCTTAATTTTATGCGTCCTCTTTTTATATTGGGTGCCTAGTTTCCTTTTGTTAGGCATCAGTTTACCAGAACCCACTTTGTTGTTTCTGAGTTGTCCAATGGCTTTCATGATCTGTGAACTGTGTGTACAAGGATTTCTGAGAAGCATGCATTTCAGTGACACATAAATCAGGTGCCTCAAACTCACCAGGTGAGACCATTCTGTTAACTGAGGCATTGAGTTTGTGTTCTTCTAACATAAAAGTCATACTGAAGATTTCCAAGAAATGGTTAGCCTGGAACAATCACAGCCCAGGGGCTGGAAGGTTGCCTGCCTGAAGAAAACAAAATTACACCCCAAAAAATTGACACTTTTAACTGAGGTGAAAAGAAGAAAAGGACATCCCACCATCCACACGCCCAATTTTTTCCACATGCTCATGAGTCATACCCTATCCGCCTCTTGCCGCCCTCCCTTATGCATAGCTGCCATCTGCTCCACCTACCTGGCAACATCCTTTCTACAAGCTCAGGGAGCCCATTCCCCAACTTCCACCTGATGACAACCAAGGAGAATATCTACATGTACTTGACATGATTCATGCCAGCTGACTGACTCCATGACACCAGGATAGACACATTTTTCTCAGTTCAATAATGTTTTGGAGATCCACCTCAACATGTTAGTTGGGGTCTCCCAATACACATCATACCCATTTATGCAAAATCCTACACAAGCTAGGACTATTTCTAGGTTATAATGGTGAAGACATGAAAATTATTCATGCTCCGAATCTTTATACTAAACACATTACCAAATAACTTTTATTTTCCTTTCAAGAGGGAGTATTTGTTGGCTCAAACCCAATATCCCGAACTTTAAATTACTCACTTAACATTATCCTATTCCACAGGGTCAACATTTTGATGTTTCAAAGTTACCTGACATAGATAGAGATGATAAGAGTACTTCAGATTCAGATTCAGATGATAGTGCTGAAACTGGAGCTGGATCTCAATCAACGATTTTATCGTCGAATATATTGCCCAACATGATTTCGAATTTGATGATAAGATTACTTCCACCAATAATTTTGACCATTCATTGAATATGAGTGATGAGACTTCTATTTCACTTAAATTCCGTGCAACCTGTACAAGATCAAAGTGAAGATGACCGCCAAAACCTACAATCGATTGATGAAGATGATGACAACAATTATGGATTTGTAGAACACAAAGCCAAACGTTGGAAACTTAAAGCCAAGCAACCTATGATTGATCTAAATTTGTTTATTTTTTTTTTTAACAAATTTATTTATTTATTTTGCACATACAGTGCATAAAAATAAACAACACCAAAAGTGCCTTACAAGATGGTCGTGGACCAGCACATAGAGAAGCTCGCAAGTCGGAGGGCAAAGCGAAATAGAAATCAGATCTTAAAGGTCATTCCTGTGACTACCCGTCAGGCTCTTCTCAGGTGTTAAATATAGGTTTCAACAATGCGAAGAATATACCAGCAAAGAGTAAATCACTGGGTCTAACAAAAGTCAGAAGCTGAGGTCATCGAGCGGGCATACAATCGAGCGAGATGCAACAGCATAGAAATATGTGACGGATCAACAAGATTGTGGTAGAACAATGCAACAGCTGGCTCAGAGGTAGTAGCAATCGACTTGGCACTCTGATGGAGCGTAGAGTCATAGCGTTGCAGAGAGTCAGAACTGGCAGCATACGAAGGAGGGGACACGTCCAAACCAGTGATTTCTCGACCAGGCAAGTGTTTGCAGATCAGATCAGCAGCATAAGAACAAGAAAGAAATTCAACAGAATCAGAGCGGTATACAGAAGATCTTTGTGAAGCAACACACGAAGGTCCCTGATTGGGAGACGAGCAAAACCAGAAAATCGGAGAGTAGTGAAGGATTAGGCACAGTCTTCGACAAATTTGAAGCTTCTATGCAAGGTCGGCAGGTCGTCCAAGAGGAAATGCGAGCAAGTAAGCTCATTCATGGAATCATTGGTAGCTGATGATGAGGCTGGAGATGGGGCTGAGAAGGTGGCTGAACTGTCAAGAGTGGTGGTGGCAGTGTGGGCACCAAGGGCTGGCAGCGATGTGCCAATGGGGAGGAGAAGCTGGGAGAGTCGGAAGCAGATCAGGGTTGAGCGTAGCAGGGGAGATAGCAGCAAGGGAGCGCAATAGAAGTGTAGAGCACTTTAGGAAGGTCAGGGAACTTGCAAAGTCAGAAGGCAGAGCAGAGGCAAGTGAGAGAGATAGGGGATGAGCAGAGGAGTAGCCCCTGCTAGTCAGCAGATTGCTCAGAAGAGAAGCAGGTGAGAGGGTCAATGGAGAGCTAAGGGAGAGAGGAGCAGAGGTGAAAAGAAGGGCAGCAGGGGTACAACGCTCACAGTTGCAATGGATAACCGGAGGTGAGGTTGAAATAATCATGGCAGATCTAGAATTTCAAGGGCTATTAGTTCAGTTGGATAGAACGTCTGACTACGAATCAGGAGGTCGTAGGTTCGAGCCCTACATGGCTCGAAAGATTTTTGCTTAGTGCAGCCATTTGTGAAAGAAAGTTACACGTTGGAGGTAAGTGCAACCATTTGTGAAGGAAAGTTTGACGTTGGATTTAAGTGACAATAATCTATCTTGCGTTTGTTTTTACAGTAAACTATCTCGCATTTGTTTATGACAGTAAACTGTCTTGCATATGTTTTTGACAGTAAACTATCTTTTTCATGTGTTTTTGATAGTACACTATCTTACATGTGTTTTTGACAGTGCACTATCTTACAGGTGTTTTTGATAGTTCACTATCTTATTCCTGCAAATGAATCTTGACATTTGAGTGTACTTTTCTTGGTAGCTGAGTGCACTATTCTCCTTTTACAGTAGTTCAAGTTAATACAAAGTCTGTTTCTTCACAGCACACTCTATTCGAAAGCGTCACCGATGAAGCAGACTTCGCCGCAGATTCAGGAAGGCTCGGACAAGGTGCGCTGAAACTTTCTTTCATCAAGCGGCGGCTCATTATGATCCCAGCTTCTTCTTACAAGGGTATGAAATCGTGTTTGCGGGCGTCGGAGCTGACGAAGTGAAGATGAACGCTCATCTACAACTGAAAATCAACGCATATTCCTGGATCCAGGTTCGTCAAATCTCAAAAAGTCACTCGAGATAGCACAGAACGAGTTGAAGCATATCAACTCCTTTTCGGGCTCATCGCGAAAAGCTGACAATCCTTCAAATTCCCTTCAGCTAGTCGTCGGTACGATTGTGATCCAGATCAAGATAAAGACGCCAAATTATCAATCTTTCTTTGGAGAGCTTATTAAGAACAATTCCAATGCCAGTTCGGACCATCTCCTCCCGTCCTCCATCCTGATCATCATCCATGCAAACCAACCCAATCTCATCAGCAACATCAAACACATCATCGCTTCCGCAGCGCACAGCAGCTCGAACGCAGCCCAACCAGTACTGCCTCACCAACATGATGAGCACGGAGTCGTTTAAATACAACGTCACGCTGAATTCATTGACACTGGCCGACGAAGAGCGCGAGATCTAGTAAGATCCACCCACATTTCTTATCTCATTGATCGCAATCTAATTCCGAGTGAATCGTACCGAACTCGGTTCGATAGTGTTTTTGCCATCCCTCCAAAAGTCGCGGACACCAACGTCACCGTCGCCTGGCGCAGACGGACGCAACCCGCTTCGGCGAGATCGCGCAAAAGGTCATGGCCAGCAAGAGCGAGTTCCTCGGCAGGCTGTTCAAAGAGCCGAGAACGCCGTCGGGCGGATGGACAATGTGTTCCGGAACGTCGACGGTGACCAGAACAAAGTGTACTCAACCAGCGCAAGTTTGGATGTTCCGGTGAACTACAGGACGCGGTACAACCGTATCGAGTCGGAAGGAATGATGTATTCGACTACACTGCCAAAAGCGGGAGGCTCATGAACTAGGAGGAGGTGGTGAAAGAGCTGGAGACGAGTTCGACTACACTGCCAAAAGCGGGAGGCTCATGAACTAGGAGGAGGTGGTGAAAGAGCTGGAGACGAGCTTTTTAATGAGGATTCCGGCGGCATTGGGGGGGCTAGCTGGGGAGAAGAAGCAGGGCTTGGTCAAGCAACGAGTATCTCGCCGGTTAGATCGAGAGAAGGCGCTACTGGGGCAGCTGCAGCTGCGGACCATTTAGCATGTTGGAAGTTCCGGAGCAGTTGCCTGTCGCGGAGGAGGAGGAGCAGAGAAAGGAGGGGGCGGACGACGAGGAGATGAGTTCCAACTTGCGATGTCGTTGTCAATCTCGGAAGCAGAGGCAAAATCAGATCCGAGAAAGAGGACTCAGCGGTGAAAGTGGCAACCGTCCAGAAAACGGTCCGGAGTGTCTAAAGACGAAGAGAAGTTGGTGGATATTGATGATGGAACCTGATTTGTTTGCGTCATGAATGTCTATATTAATCATACAACATTGCACTTCAGTGTTTTTTTCGTTCCTTATGTGCAGGATCACTACTTCTCTGCCAAATATCAGAAGCGAACGGACCATCAGACTAATGTGCGGATTAAGCCGACGGATCTGAATAAAAGTCAAGGAGCAGTACAAAGTATTCAAGAAAACAAGGTGATAATTCAAAAACATTAGGTAACAAATGGGACTTAACGAAACTTGTAAGATTTTGCATCACCCCTCCAAAGCATGGTTGTGCTCCATCTTCGCCGTGCACCTAAACACCCAATTCTCTTCTCCAGAACTGGCGGTGCAAAGCACAACTCGCCACTCGCATCCTGTAAGCGCAGTCTTCCATCTCCTCTTGCGCTTCCTCTCGCCCTTGAGTTCTTTGAGCCTTCGTCCGCAATTGCAAATCACGACAACGTAGTCCTTCTTCGAAGTCCGCACGAGAACCTTGAATCCATGTGCAGCTGCTTGTGCCTTCAGGA